GCCGCCGCCGCCCGGAAACGGGCGCTGCTAGCGGCCAACGAGGAAGAGGACCGCGAGATCCGGAAGCTGGAGCGTTGCCTGGGCCTGAACAAGCGTAAGAAGAAGGGCGACGGTAGTGCCGTGCCGCTCAGCTTTGCCCGCGACGGGCTCGACTATATTCTGGGAGCCCTGGGATCTGCGGGGAATGGTGGCTTATATGAGAGCAGTAGTGAGGAGGAGGAGGAGGAGGATGCTGGACAGACACTGCCCGAGAGTGACTTAGAGAGTGACGCGGAGGAAGCAAGTGAAGAGGGCGAAGCTGAAGACGGCGAAGAGGAAGAGGGCGGGCAGAGCGAGGAGAGTGAAGAGGAGGAAGACCCCGCAGACCGGAGGACGCGGGCGAAAGGAGGGAAGAGAGTCCGTTTTGCGGACGATGAAGCGAGTGCTAGTTCTTCCGAGGATGGTGGCGAGACCGAGCAGGTATGCAGTGAGCAACCTCCAGGTCTTCGGGGATTTGTTTCCAAGCAGCGGTGGGCGTGCAGAGCCCACGGATAGAGAAAAGGCAATATTGATAATAGAGGTGACACCAAAACACCAAACCCGTTGCCGCAGATTCCAGATGCTCCTGAGGATCTCTTGTGTCAGTGTACACCAGAGTTCCAGAGGGTTTTCGATGCCTCAGGGGGGTTGGGGGAGGTAGGTTGCCAGGCCTTTCTTCTGAGGTGCCTCAGGGTGGACTGGAACCTCCAAACCGCTAGTAAAGTAGCCAAGCACTTTAGCCACCTGATTGAGCTTGGATCATCAAGTGGGTGTGTGTTTTCTATTCAATCTGCTTTGTGGTTTCAAATTCCACAATGGAAAGAAGTGGGGGGAGAACATGTTTATGCAAGGGGCATACTTGACATTTCTATTTGCTGCCCCAAAACAACATCTTCATTCTACACACACACCGTCGTGCCTACCTTAGGTGCTTTGTTTTAGCCATTTTCATATGTATCCAAGAAAACTACAGCGGGGTACCCCCTGCCTGGGTTCTGCCTCCATTGTAGGTTTGGTTTGTGTTGTTTAATTATCCGACTGCCTCCAAAGTAAAACAGCTCATCTCTAATTCTCTCGTGTGTAAAGTTTCTCCCATTTAAGACCTAGTTGAGGTTCCATGACACAGCAATCAAAGCCTGTGCGGCCTGGCACCTGACCTGTCTAAACACCATCCCTTTGTGCCCCCCCTGAAGGCAGCAGTATGAAATGACTGCCTTTTTCCTCACATCTCACTATTTTAGCATTCTAAACTAGACATGTCATTTCTTTGGGCTTACTCCCTATGATTGTAAGGCTTTTTTCCCTCTTTTTCTCACTGACTGTAGCTTCTATTTATTAATGCCAGCCCTCTCTGGGAATCATTTCCCATCATCAGTATATGAAGTGCCTTTCATCTCTGTCCACGGTCCACTCCTGGCACCTTGTGCTCACTCCCTCACTTCTTTTATAATGTTATTTTTCATCACCGATCCTAAATTTGCTCTAATAAAAAACTTTGTTGAGTTACAACTAATAGAAAATCTGAAATGAGCCCTGAGCATAGCAATCGTTTTACTTTCTATTTGCATAAATTTGCTTTCACCAATGGAATTTAAAATCTTAACAGTAAGAATCGCGCTTCAAAAATGTTTTTGTCCTTCAGGCTTAACTTTTAGGTATCCAGGCAGTGTTGGTCAATAATAATGTTTTGTAATCTCCCATTTGATATCATCTAGGAAAACTCATTTTTTATTTCATCACTTAAGTGTAGATTCTAGTTTTGAACAAGTAGGAAATGATCATAGGACCAAGCCAAAAATCAAACTCACTGCCATCAAGTCGATGCTGACTCATTGCAACCCTGTAGGACAGAGGAAAACTGCCCCTCTGAGTGTCTGAGACTTAACTCTTGGGGGACTAGAAACACTCATTTTTGGCCCATAGGAAGCTGGTGATAAGTTCCCTTCAAGTGCTTGGGATACTGCCAGGCTTGGAGTTAATTGAGCCTGGGTATAAGGAAGGGTCAACTATAAGATTAGTTTATAAATGCTGGAGGTGCATAACCAAATGTACAGAGGGGAAAGCAAGATGACAAAATGTACTAACAAACAATGAATAAACTTACCAGGAGCCCTGGTGGTGTAGTAGTTACACATTGGGCTGAGATCCGGAAAGGTTGGCAGTTCAGAGTCACTAGCTGCTCCTCTGGGAAAAGAGAGGGCTTTCTACTCCCGTAAAGAGTTACAGCCTCAGAAACTCAACAAGGGCATTTCCACCCTGTCCTTTGGGATCACCGAGTCAGCATTAATTCATTGGCAGTGAGTTTTGTGTTTCGTTTTTGTTTTTTGATTGGTTTGGTTTTTTTTTTTTTAGAAGGCTGTGCAAGGCACTTAGTAAATAGCTGATGTTTAATATTTTCTACCAGTTCTTGGGAGTTTAATATTTAAATGTGCATTTAGCGAGGGAAAATAGGGGGCTTCTTTCATGTAAATTTGTCATGTTTTCCTTCAAGCAGAGCCTTTGTGACAGTGCTAAGAAGTATATTCCACCTCATGTGAGACTCACTGAGGACGCTGTGGATACCCAAAAACAGGAGGAACTAGAAAGGCTAAAGAAACAAGTGAAAGGCCTAATTAACAGGTAACCATGTAAAATTGATAGGTTGTGTCACTTAAGAGAAATTGAGAGTTTTCTAAATATGTAATGTGCATTATACCCCAGGAATTAAGTGCTAGGGCCGGAATTAGAGTGATTAGATCCTTTCTGTTCTATTCAATTTTTTAAAATCATTTTATTGGGGGCTCGAATAATTCTTATCACAATCCATACATACATCCAAGCACATTTGTACATTTGTTACCATCATCATTCTCAAAACATTTGCCTTCTACTTGAGCCCTTAATAACAGCTCCTCATTTTCCCCCTCCCGCTCCACCCCCTCCCTCATGAACCCT